CCAGGCCTGGTCTGGCTCCTCCTACAGTAGATGTTAAGAAATCTACAGTTCTGTATTGAAATAGTTTCTTGTGGTTGAAAATGTGCCGATGATAATCCAGAAGGAGTTTGTTTACAGCCATATCGTGCACCTCTCTCCTCTGCAGAAGGTCATAGACTGAACTTAAGCATGAGGACAAGAGGTTGGGCCAGAGGCCGTGGTAAATGCAGGCTTAAATCCCACAAATTAGCAAGTAATTAGCACGACGTTGAATTAAACAATATGCTAGAAGTCCAATAGCAACTTAAAAATCTATGTAGTATGTAGAATTTTTTTTTTTTTTTTAAATCGGTACCGGGGATCGAACTCACGACCGCCTGCTTGCAAGGCAGGTGCTTATGCCGCTGAGCTAAATCCCCAGCCTCAAATCTATGTAGTATGGATGAAGAAGACAGTTAAAAAAGTACAGTTTTGATTCATTTATATTAAAATATTTGCCCAATAGGACATGGAATCCAATAATTTAAGCTGGGGGGAATAATTCTAATTTTTGAAGAAAATTAATAATCTTTCTCTTTACTCTGTCACAATTCGAATCTGGTGGATTAGTCTGTCACCTGCCCCATGGTTTGCCTCCTGTGCAGTGGAGAAGTGAGCAGGAGACTTTTCTGTTTGAAAGAAAGAAGAGAAAGATGTAGAAGATTTTCATAAACTACATGTCAGCAGGGGCTGGCGCACACTTGGCCACCAGCTGAGACCGCCTTGCTAACAGCTGACTCTTGCCCAGTCCATGTGCTGTTATGTTTTTTCCCCTAAGGCTTTCCGCAAATATCTTCTAATTACTTCTCTGTTCTGTAAGTTACGATTGCTTCCTTAACTCCCATCCAGCATGGACTCTAAATTTGAGATACAACATCTTCCCTCCCAAAATTCATTTGGAGCTTATCTCAGTCTGTTCTTGCTGCCCTTGCAAATTACGTTAGACTGGACAACAGAATTTTGCTTCTCACAGTTCTGGAGCTTGGGAAGTTATAGGCCAAGTTACCTGCAGATACGGTGTCTGGGGACAGTTCCTTGCATTTCTAAGATGGTGCATGTTGCTGGGCCTCACATGCTGGACAGCAGAAGGGCAAGCAGTGACCTCTGCAGCCCTTTTCAGAAGGCCACTTGGTCTTTAGCCAGGTTTAAGTGTAAGAGTTTTGGAGGAACACAGATTCAAACCACAGTAAAGAACAAAGAAGAACTTGGAGAGGCAATTAACTGCAGCAGTGAGAGGTCGACCTGCTGGAGGAGGAATTGTGTAAGAATTATGCATTGCAGCACCACGTAGAATAACATTCAACATTTTGGAGACCAGGGATCAGATTCATGGAAGACACTTTATTCACAGGAGGCAGGGAGCTGGTTCAGAGATGATTCATAAGAATGTGTGTGTATCTGAAGCTCCCTGTCGGGTTTGAGCTCCTCTGAGAATCTGAGGCTGCTGCCCATGTCACGGTGGTAGAGCGCTCGTGGCGAGGACAGCATGGAAGTGGCTGAGAACACAGCTCGCCTGGCGCTGCACAGCTTGGTGTTGAACAGGCCTTAGAGCAGTGCTGTTACTGTTGGGATCCCCTGATCTGTAAGTAGTCCAAGACTGCATAGTGGCTTTGCTGGTCCTCAGGAAGCCTTGCCCATTTTCACTGACCAGGATCCCGTGCTCTAGTGTGCCATCAGTTCTGCCCTGCTTCTCTCCATCTCCCAGGTGCAGCAAAAGCTTTTTGTGTTTTATTATTATGAAGAGGGTACTGTAGATTTTAGTTTTAAATAGCAAGTTGGAACAGAATCTCTGTTGCTAATGGCCCAAAGTAGAGTTGGAAAATGCTAGAGGTTTTGTTTGTTTTTGTCTTTTTTCTTTCTTTTCTTTTTTCCTTCTCCGTCTTTCTTTTTCTTCTTCTTCCCCTTTTCTTCCTCCTCCACCACCTCCTCCTCCTCCTCCTCTTCTTCTTCTTTCTCCCCTCTCCCCCTTGCTGGAATCAAACTCAGGACCTTGTGCTTGCCAGGTAGGTGTTGTGCTACAGAGCTAAATCCTGTTTGTTTCATTTTTGTTACTGTATGTTTGCAATAAATGACAATTACACTCTTGGGAATTGGTACATATGCATACCACATCTTAGTCATTTTTGCTTCCTCTTCCCCTTCCTTCCTTCTTGCTTACCCTGAAATGCAGGTTTCATAGAAAGGCCACTGGAAAAGACTCAGGAGGCCAGTTTCTTCTCCTGTGTTCTGTCCCAGTCTCCTTTTGTGGTCTTGAGAAAGTGTCACACTGGACCTGAGTGAGGACTCTCTAAATTGCCTTCCAACTAACTCTATGCATGGCATTGTTGAGAATCTCCTTGTGCCTAATCTGTGTGTACAGACAGCCAGGGCTGGGCTTATTGGCTCACAGTGAGTGCACCTCCCCTGCCCTGGGTACGCTTCAACCTCTCTCTGGTTGGCCATCTGCTCTGCAGTGCAACCGAGGCTTTAGGGGTCAACTTTTGAGTCAGGGACATGCATGGAGCTGCGTTTTTTCAAATGAGAACCTTGGTTGTGTTATCTACTCTCTGAGACTGGCTTTGTCATTTGGAAGGTGGGTATAATGACACCTACCTTGGAGGACTGTGTTTAGTGCAGCAGTGCACATGAATACTTAGAAAAGTGCCCAGCACAGAGTAAGAGTTCCATGAACAGAAGTTCTGATTGTTACCACCAGGTCTTTACAAGGGCAGGGGCTGGCTTTCATGGTAAACTCAGGCCACAGTTTCCAGTTTTATATGCGCGGCACGAGGAACTCAGGTTACTGAGCAGTTAGCTCCCAAACTTTGATGTGCTGAGTGGAAAATAGAAGAAAAGGGGAGTTTAGATAACACAATAAGCCCAGCCCTGGCTGTCTGTACACACAGATTAGGCACAAGGAGATTCTCAACAATGCCATGCATAGAGTTAGTTGGAAGGCAATTTAGAGAGTCCTCATGAGGAAAGACTCCTGATCTTTTGGGAGGGATGAACTCCAGACAGCAAGCTGACTTCTTACACTCAAAGGCTTCCAAAAAAAAAAAAAAAAAAAAAAAAAAAAGAGAGAGAGAGAGAGACAAGGGCAAGGCAGTAGTGGACCTAGAATGGACTTTTTCTGCACTGCTGAGGATTGAACCCAAAGGCTTTGTAATGAGGTACATCTCCACCTAACCCCCTTTTAAAATTTTTGAGAGTCTCATTAATTTGCCCAAGCTGGGCTCAAACTTGTGGTCCTCACATTGTCATACTGCTGGGATTAAAGTCTTGTGCCACCACAAGAATCAGTCTTGTGACTGGAATCAGTCTTGATTCTAGAAACTGCACCCTGGAGCAGAGGGCTGGTTATTTGAGCAGAGGGAGAGCTACACTGTGAGTCTGGTGCTAGCATCCTAAGTGTGCTTCCCTGGGCTGTCCTTAACTTGAAAGAATTGGACCCACGCCATATCTTGGATTACATGTAAGTTTTTCTGAAAGAATCCTGATTTCTCCTGTTCCAGAATAATTATTAATAATACTTTGTTATCAAGTGCGTCTGTTCCTATAGTGTGATCACCTTGTGTAAATCACTTTTCAACAGTGACACCATGTGGCGTTGAGAAGCAATAGCAGTAGATCGATGCATCTCAAGATCATTCCGGACCATTGTGGAAGCCAGAATGATCCCTTGATGCCCATGGACCCCAGAGTTGTCAAGACTTCTGACTATGTAGAAGACAAGGGAAGCCCCAGAAGGAGTTTGGGTACATCCTGTTTATGAGACATGTGAGTGATTCAGAACTTTTAATTGGAAAGATAAGACGTGGCACCATGAATTAGTGAAGTAGTGGATACCAGTTGTAGGCTTTTTAAACTTGAACTCCTTGTTTACTGTACCCCAGAGGTGGATTAATTACAAGCTTTCATGCTAAGCTCCTTGAAGTACTTTTTAATTATATCAATCTGTGATATTGAGAAGTTATAATTTCACTGGTAGAAAGACATGAAGTGAGTTACAGATATAACAGTTGTCTAATTGCTAGAGTTTAATGATTTACATTGACATCTGCTTTTGCCTGTCCAGCATCTTTTCATCTTCCTATGGGAATAGAGACTCTTTTCTTGTGGGAAACATATTCTACATAATTTAGGTGGTGCCAACTCCTTTATCTCTTTCCTCTCCCTTTATCTCATCTCAAGGATTGGTCACATCACTGCTTGACTAATTGAAACTCGTATGCTTTGAGCCCCAGTGACTGTAGGTGAAGTGTAGGTAATCAACCTCAGGTAAGTGGGTTTGTGTTCTTTTCTGGACCTTATGATGGAGCTATTGGACCACTGTTTTATTCTTCTAAGCCTCTAACCTAGTACTATGGAATTCAGGCTTTTTTCAGCCGTCCTGCCACTGAAAGCAGAATCTTATACAAAGAGAGAGGAGCAAAAAAGATGATGCATGGATGACATTGAGGCCTCTAGATCCAGCCCTACCCAAAGCTCTGAACCTTTTATACTCATTTTTCTATTCCCTGAGGAAATGATATATATAAATATAATATTTCAATGTATGTAAGTTATATAAAATTGTTCATATAAATTAAGATTCCTTGTACCTTAAGCCAGTGGTGATGGACTTATAGCATATGAGTTGGTTGTTTCTTTTAAGACAAAAAATGTTAAAGAGTGAGTTGTTTTTCCTAACCTGAAATCTCAGTATTCAGGTTTATTGCAGTGTTGGTACTTTGTGATAAGTAAGTGGGTTTTGGGCTGCAGTGTAGGTACTTTTCTCTAAAAGTTTGCCATCATTGCCTTAAAAGTTTGGATATAAAAAGTGAGCAATCTCTAGGTACGTATTCAACCTCTGCAGATGTTTTGAGATTCACTAGAATCACTGCTCAACTCTGATTTTCTCTAACATCTATATAATTCCCCAAATGGTCAAGGGGACTCTGTTTGCCATCAGATACTGTTCAGCTTCTCCATACAGACACAGAAAGCTAATGACAGAGCTCTTTACTGGGCAATATTACTCCTGGACAAACGTTGCAGAAGAGGAAGTCATCAAACAGACAAAGCTCAAAGGAGAAGCCGGGGAAACTCTCTCCCTCCACAAATGCCACCATTTCTGTTCACAGCTTTGGTCCAACTTGCCTTCTGTTGCCCTAGAATACTTCTTGGCTCAATGAGGCAACAGGTCTTCTGTCTCTAGTGTCAGCGATGGAAAAAGGAAACATCTCAGCTTCCACAAGTTGCTTCTGCTCAGTATTTTCGGCAGGGTGTTAACAAGGAGATCTGGGTTTATAAAAGTGATATGCAAGAGCACGTATCCCAGCAGCCTGACCACAAATAGGACGATGAAAAAGAGACAGTGAAAAATCCTGAAAAGAAAGGTCCAGGAAGCTGTGTTAACTAGAGGTTAGGAAATGCAGAACAAAGTCGAGTCATAATAGTCATAAATGCATATGGCTCCTCAATACCCTAATATCTCCCATTAGTTATGGTCATCTTTCCTGTAACTATAAAGACAGCCCCTTTCCCACATGCTGGTTGACCCTCTTACTGGGTTTTACTATCTTTGTGGCATGTATCACTATTCTAAAATAATCAGTTCTTTTATTTTTTATTTACTTCATTTCTATGAATTATTTTCCAAAGGTTTTGCATCAAATGACACCCCATCAGCAAGGTATATATTTTTGTGGACCCATGTCCTCTCCAACATTTAATATTATCAGGTTTTAAAAATTATGCCAATAAATGAATGTAAAGTAACATCTCTTTTAGTTTCAATTTAAATTTCTCTGATTAAAAATGATACTGAACATCTATTCATAATTTACTGGTTTTGTGTGTCTCTTCTTGCCCGTTTATATACTAGTTTGAGCTTTTCATATTGACTTGTAGTTCTTGTGTTATTTCAACCTTTTCCCATTATGTGTAGTGTTTCCCCAAGTGTATAATTTTTACTTGATCTAAGGTATTAAGGAACAAAATTTCTTAATGTTAACATTGCTTTCTGTCCTGTTTTAAAAATAATTTCCTACTGCAAGACTGGGAAGACACTCATTGTTTTTTTTAAATTTTTTAAATTAAAACTCAATAGTTGTTTTAAAATGTATTTACAAATTCTGTTATTTTTTGCTTCAAGAGATTTCCCTTCATTGTAGTGTGGATGGGACTTATTGATTTGTTTCTTCAGAAAGGAACATGGCAGATATCACAATGTCTTCCTAGACTACCCCACAAAAACACGGTGGCTTCCTCTGACTCCTGGAGGGAAGCCAGCTATCACACTGTGAGGACATGCAAGCAGCCCATTGGAGAGGCCCACGTGTGGAGGAAAAGACTGCCTGCCAAGCGCTAGAAAAGTCATGAAGCAGATAAGAGTAAATTGCTTTCCAGATAGAACCTCCAGCCAAAGACAAGCCTTGAAATGACTGCAACTTTGGTCAACTTTTTGATGACAGCCTCAAGACAGATCCTGAGACATGCTGTCTTAGTTAAGATCACAGAAAAGTGGCTCATAGAAATCTAAGGAAATGTTTGTTGTTAAAACCACTGTTTTTTTGGGGGGTGGGGTGAGGGGGATCTTCCTTATGCAGCAAACATAAAATAATTTTATACATTTTTTTGTTTGTGTTGACATTCAGATCTTTAATGCATGCTCTTTGTGTGTTATATGTAGTGGTCCAGTCTTGTGCTGACCTGATAGCTGTTTCTCCTGAACTGCTCTTACTGAACTATTCTTCCTTCTCCTCTAAGATTTGACCACAGTCACACACCAAAGCGCCAAAGCGCCTGTGTGCCCTGTTTCTGTTACTCAAGACCCAAACCGGCCACCCTACTGGTCAGCTGTCCCATTTCTTTGCCAGTTGCCACAAGACTGCAACTGCTATCACCTCACAGAAGGCCTGATATCTAGAAGGATATAGGCCACCTTTTATGTTCTTTAAAATTATCTAGGTTATTCTTGATTCTACTGTTCCATATATAGCACATTTTAGGACCCTTCCACTCAATTCTATGAAAAATTTTTTGGGGAGTTTGATAGGAATTGAATTATTTGAAGACAATTGGTATTTATGATATAAGTTTTCTATACATTATCATGGTGTTTTTCTTATTTCCTTCATATTATCATTAAAATTTCCTAATAACTTTCTATCAACTTTACTCTGGCAATCTTGATTTCATTAATTACTTAGACTTTCTGATTTTCAAATAATTTTCACAAGCAAGCCTCTACATTATCCTTTCCAGGTGTGCCAGGACAAATTCACTACCTACTTTTTCAGAAACGATTCCATCCTCACCAGCTTTCTCAAGCTTTCTTCTATAATTATCGTGTGACAAGAGCCAGAATTTATTTACTACAGCAGATTAGGCAGAGTTACAATAGAAGGTTTACAAACCCTTCCCAACCTGTCTCTCTCAGACTGAATACAGTGTTTATGGGAAAGCTCTGGGATTATGCTCCCAGAGAAACCCAAGAAATAACCTAGTTTCCTTCTCTTGATTTACTTCCCAGTCTACTAGGATCCTGCAAGGTATAGAAGCAGAACCAAAAGCAACACATTTAGAGTTAGATATGGTTGGCTACAGCTGCAGAATGTCTTTGTTCAGGTTCCCTTCCACACACCAGCGCTCTTCACAACAGCTCATCCTTATCCTACCCAGGAGATTTTATGCTGGGTTTGGGTGCTATAGTAAGCCTAGGCTTCATGGGGAAAATTCTGCTAGGTCTTACAAAAGGGTCGTATGTAAGGATATTGGACTATGTAACATTCCACTTATCTGGTATAAAGGGTGTTCTTCTTAAGCAAATTTCTCAAACAATTGGAACTGATATTTTAACATCAATAACTCTACATTAACCATTTTGATGGAACTCTTGAAATCGTATTTCATACCACTTTAAATGTATGTTTCTGCTTTCTTAAACAGATCATGTTGAACATAATTTGACCTTTTCTTGACAGTGTAGGAACTTCATGAATAATAATTTTACTTCGCTGCTCAGTGATTCCTTCTGGAAAAATATCCACACAACTGTTTGAATCTTGAGTTCCTTCTCAGTATAACAAGCTTTTTTGAGACATTACTATGTGCAGGACACTAATAGGTGCTTGTTTTGCAATCATTTTCTCTCTCTCTCTTCTATCGGCTGTCAGGAAGTGGTAACCTTGTGCCCAGGAGCACTTTAATCCATTTCTAGGCAAATGTTGCTGCTGGGAAACAGTGTACATCAGCTTAGTGAAAATTGTGAAAAAGAAAGAAATACAAGAGTCACCGTATCTATTTTGAGGTGATCAGGATTCTTTTTTTTTTTTCTTCTTAATAGACTGTTGATTTATCACATTGGAAAGTTGAGATTAATTTGCCTTTGGTTAATGAAGTCATAATGCTAGACTGTAGTTGATTATACTAGTTTGCTGACTTGACATGTGAGCTCATGTGTGTGCGTGTGTGTTTGTGTGCATAAAGTATTTCTGGTCTACATTTGCTTCCTGCCAGGACAGCTAAATAGTGCTCTTAGTTTTCCAGGAAGCTTACATGAAGATGTTTTGCTTACCTTTTACACAACCATGTTGCTGTTTTTGGGAAAGAAGTGCACTGGAAGAAGAAAAGAAAACATTGATAAAGAGGGACTGGCTGGAAGCTATTATCATTGTCAAATAGTATTTAGCGAGGTATTCATGAAATATAAATTTAGAAAATATTTTACAATTTTTTTCAAATGGGTAAGTGCACATACTTTTCAAAGATGGAAGTCTTTTGCACACTTATTACAACTGTAATTTTTATTACCATTTTTCATACTAATATGAATAAAGTAAGGTGCAGAAAGATTTAGCATGATGTGGAAGATTGCATAGCTAGTAAGTGGTTAGACTGGGCTTGAGCACTGGCTCCTTCTTCTTCTTAGTTCTGTAAACTGTACCTGTGTTCCTCCTACTGTGAAGAACCTTCCAGGTTATGTAGATTTCACAAACATTTCCTAAGAGAGAAGTTTTGGAAACTATAATAATATAAAAATGAAGATTTATAGATTTCGGTGGCATTTCTTTTCCAAAATATTTTCTCATCTATTTATTTGAGGTTTTACCTTCCTTTGATATCAAAAAGAAGAGAAATTACTATCAGATTTTAGAGTTGTAGAAATGAGTTCACAGAATTATAATTAGAAACTTTCTGAGTTATGAAATCAGGTCTATAGCTCAAGTGGGGTTGTGTTGTATGCCAGATAGTCAATTATTCAGGGAGCCTCTCTGTGAACTTATTTAAATATCAGTAGGTCACTGTTAAGGTTTATATCTAGATGTCCCCCCAAAGCCTCATGGGCTCATATGTGTAGCTTTTGGGAGGTGAGAGTATTGTGTTTGTGTGATGCTAAATTAGAGGCATGTAGCAATTGGATTAGTTATTTGATTGGTTTAGCATAGTTTTGGCTGTGGATAATGAGAAGGCCCACTTTGGGTATGAATGGTATGAATCAATAGGCTTGTAATTTGGATGGAATAAAAAGGGAAAGAAAGACCTGCTACTTTCTGCTTTCTGCCTTCTTTCCATGGACTGTTTCTCCTCAATTATACCCTCTGCTACACTTCCCTGCCTTTGTGCAAGCCAACTATGGACTGAAACTTCTACAAACTGTGAGTCAAAATAAACATTTCCTCCTTCAGCTTGTGTGTGTTGGACACTTTGTCCCACCAAAGGGAAAAAATAACTAAGCCAGCTGATTTACTTAATGATGAAAGTTCTGTTTTTTGTCTGATAGCTGGTTAGAAGGAATAGTTTAATGATCCAGGGGATAAAGATGGTTGAACATGCTTTGGCTGATTCTAGAAAGCTGGGTCCAGTCAATTTTAGGACACGTTTTTTGCAGAGTGAAACATGTAAACTTGGGAGCCACAACAACTTGCTTAGGACAGTGAGATTTACAGTTACCATAGACATGTTCTAACAGAACTCAAATTCCTGGATAATAGGATAATGGCCAATAATTTGTATGTTCTTTTAGAGAAGAGGTGAAGGCTTTGTTGATATTATCAAAACTAGTTATTTTGCCTGCATAAAATGTCTGGGCCATATAAAAGAAAAACTTAGATTCTAACAAATGTTTGTGTTTTTGAAAGAATCTCTCAACAAGTTGCTAATTTGCCAAGGTTGGGCTTGAACTCATGATCCTTCTGCTCTAGCCTTCCGAGAGTGTGAGGATTACAGACGTGCACTACTATGCCAGGTGCATTTATCTTTTAAATCTGTGTGTTTACAATAAGATACCAGGCTTGGTGCTCTATATTCAGGAATGCTGCCTCCTTCAGATTTTTTTGTGTGGTCTTGTATTTTGTAGATTTAAATATGGACATGAAGTTGTATTATAAAGAAGCAATTGTTCACAAGATGTGATTGAAAAATATAATGAAGTTAGTTGTGGTGATGTATGCCTGTAGTTTTAGCACTGAGGAGGCTGAGGCTGGAGGGTTACTGTGAATTCAAGGGCAGATTGGACTACACAGTGAGCTTAAGTCCAGCCTGAACTACATAGCAAGATCCTGTGTCAAAAAACCAAATATCAAAAACCAAAACAAACAAATGACCAAACACAAAAAAAGAAAGATAAATACGCTGAATACTTAAATTTAAAAATTACTTAAATTCTTTCCTCCTTTTGAACACATTTATTCCATAGCTTTTGCTGAAGCAGTTCTGGAAGTCCTCTTTCATGCCTTCACCACTCATGATAAAAATTATAGTGAATGCTGCTTCTGAGTATCATCCAATGGAAAGGCATGCTCATAAAAGCATTAAGGTGTGACCTCATCCACCTTACTTACTGTGTCTGGCACCATGTGATTTCTGGTTCTTCCTCAAAGTCAAAATGACCATGAAAGGAAAGCACTTAGAATTGATACAGGACATCTCTGTAGCTATGACAGCATAACTAGACACTCACAAAAGAGGATATTCCAGAGCTGTTTCAAAAAGTGACAAAAATGAGTTCTGATGAAAGAGGTTCATGGCAATGTCTTTTACATAATACATTTTAAAATATTTTTAACATTAACTGAAATTTTTGATCATACGCCATATGTGATACCTCCTAGGCTAACTCTGATGAAAGGGTGACAGATGCCTCGGGCTTTGTGTGTAAATGATCTGTCATTATACTGGGATCCACAGGAAAGAGCACCATGCCTTCAGGATTTGGGAAGAGGCGAGTGAGAGCCATGTACTGACCTTGTTTTACAGAGCATCCCCTCCTTGCTTTCATTCTGAATTCTCTTAGATCTTGGGCTAATTTTTGGAGAATGTGTCATTCATTATGGCCTTAAGTGGGGAATGGCAGCTGTTCCTTAAAATCTTGTTTGTTGTTTTAGAAGTAGAGTGCTTTGGAATAATAGCAATTCGTAGAAAATGCACATGAACTTGAACCGAGTGTGTGTTTGGTGACTTACATTCCCTGGAAACCCGTCAAAAGTGAGTGATCCTAAGAGGAGCTGAAGATGGTATGGTTCACTTACCTCATTATTTTGATCTTCACAGTTTCTCCTCAGAGAGTCCATGCTCAAGACTTTTGATCTAGAAAGTAGAGTAGGATTCAAGTATTATACTACAGGATGGTGATTAAAACACAGATTTATCATCTAAAGGTACATTCTCTAACGCCATAGCAACTGACTCCATGTGACTATTTAAATTAAATTAAATCAAGCTTCTGTGTACCTACCACCATTGGAGACTTGCCTCCTGTGGGCAGCCAGCATTGGCAGGGAGAAACAGCCAGAGCTGCCTCTGCACATATGCTGCCTTTGGGAAGCTTACTTCCCTCAGATAACCATCACGGGTGGGGGAAAAAAGCCAGATATGTCCCGTGTGCTCACAGGCTACCCTCAGAGACTCTTGCTTCTCATGGGCAGCCAGTGAAGGCTGAAAAAATTGGACAAACACATCCCTGTGTGCCTGCTGCCACATAGGCTGAGAGAAGCAGCCGCCCTGCCACCATGCACCCATGGCCATTGGGGAAGCCTCTGTGTAGCTGCAATGGTCTGGAGAATCCTGCCCCATACCTCACTTCCTCCCTGGGAACCTGACCAATTATTGTCCTACACTGTGGAGTGTCAGCCTTGTGGGAAGTACCTGTGATCCCACAACTGGCTTCTTGGGAGCAATCCAGGAAAATGTCAAGATGAAGGAGCAAAAGGCAGTGTCAGACTTCCAGCCCACATAGAGTGAATACTGGAGATACAGACATGGGAGAAAATGGAAGTCACACACCTGAAATCTCTGAAAGGATAGCAACTGAAAACATCATGGAGATAGAAGAGCAATCGCATCAGAAATAATGTATCAGGTAAAAGAAGAAATCACAAACACAATGAAATAATTGCTGAACATATATAAAGACAGAAAAGAGGACGATAGGAAAATGATAGAAATCTTGAATGAACAATATAGAAAGGAATTACAATTCATGAAACAGAGTCAAAAAGACATCCAGGAAATTAAAAATTTCATTGAAAGCTGGAAAAACTGCTTAAAAGAGATTGAAGATAGACTTTCAGACCTTGAAGACAGGATTGCAGCTAGTGATTACAAAAGAAAAAGTTCTCTTAAAAATAACAAGGACCAGGAAATAACAATTCAACAACTGCAAGAAGACACAAAGAACAATAATTTAAGAGTGCTAAGTGAGGGCCAACACACATGACATAAAAAGACTATTTACAGAAGTAATAGCAAAACTTTCTAAACAAGAGAAAGGGATCTGGCATATAGATAAACATGGTATACAGAACTCCAACTAGGCCTAAGCAAAATTATCTACACCCAGGTTTATAATAATCAGATTCCAAAAATTCAGCACAAGAACAGTATATTAAATGCTGTTTAATATACTATAGAAAAGAAACAGATCACCTAAAAAGGAAAACCCATGAGAATCATGGCAGACTTCTTAACACAAACCATCAAGTCACGAAGAGTTGGAGCATAGTGTTTCAAATTCTGAAAGACAGCAAGTTCCAACCAAGATTGATGTACCCTGCAAAACTACCTTTCAAAATTGATGGAAAAATAAAATACTTTCATGACAAGGAACATCTGAAGGAATTCATTAGCACTGAACCAAAGAGGGCTAAAGGATATTCTAGAGATAAATAAAGATGATGGTGGTTTCAGGAACAGCAGCAGAGAGGGATCACCACCCAGGACATGCAATTGAATACAGGGGAAAAGCGGGGAGCCAACAACAGGAGAATAGCATGGCAGAGACAAACCAATGTATGCTGGTTGTAACCACTAATGTAGATGGTTCTCAATTCACCAATAAAAAGAAACACAGGGAGAATGGATCAAAAAACAATATCTACTATTAGCATGCTGTATACAAGAAGCACATTTAACTCAAAAAGAAATTTATAGACCGAAAGTCAAAGAAGAGAAATCAATGTTACATGCAACAGGAAACCAGAAAAAAAGCAGGTTTAGCTTTCTTATCAACCACAGAATGGATAAGAAACATATGATGTTTTCATACAATGGGAAGCTACTCAGCTATAAGGAAGGATAATCTCAAGGCTCTTGTAAGTAAATGGATGCAACTTGAGGTCACGCTCATGGGTGAAATGGTTTGAACTCTTATGGTGAACACTGTGTTATCTCCTAGCAAAAAAACCTGAAGGAGTTAGTGGGATCCACAATAAATATTATGAAAATGATATGGGAGGAAACATCTAAAAAGGGAAGATAGTACCATTGTTAACTTCATATTACCTTGTTTTGAATTTCTTGTTTTCATAGTTTTGCTAGCTTTGGTTATATTCTGTCTTGTTCTGTTTCATTTTATTGTTTGATGGTATGGGCAGCTATTTTGAAGATAATGGGATGTATTATGGTAGTCATTATTGATTTCTTATTACATTTTTTTTATTTTAAAGAGTATAAAATTAAACATAACAAAGTGGAACAAAACAGATTGCAAGAAAACAATTTAAGAAACACAGATTTCAAAGCAACACCACCGGAGATCTTCCCTGTCTATCATATTGTCTCTTGTTTTCTTCCAAATAGTTGTCCATATCTTCACACACAGTGAATACATACCGAACAAAATAGGACTAAACTGATCAGAGCAGGATGATGAAGGAAGGCATTTTAGGTCTTCAAGACGAGACAATAGAGAAGTCAACAATGGCTGCCATAATGTCTCTTGTTCTGGTCAAAGTAGTTGTCCACACCTTCACGTATATTGAAATTAAACAAAAGAAAACAGACTAATATCACTCTGGACAGAGAGTAATAGTATTGCTAGATTTTATATCATGATGCTACGGAATTAGCACTGGGTACCTTACTGTCTCTTTTTCTTCAAAGTATCTGTTCATTATGGTGTGTATTATATAATCTATTTTCGTAAACTCTTTAGAAGTTCTACACATGTGTGACTCTCTACCTGTATACCTATCCTTTCTGTATTAGAGGGAAAAGCAAATAGAAACAAGACAACAAAACAAATTCCTAGAAAATCAAGAAATGAAAGAGACATATAAAACCACAATACTAGGTGATCTACAGTAGTTACTATGCTGTTTTTTGTTATTTTCAATAGAATTGTCTATATCATCAAGCATAGTACAATTGAACATAGCACCAATTGAACATACATAGAATATAGTACATAGTACCATAGCAATATTAATAAAAACAAAACAATGGAGATATTATAGGACTTCAAAAGCAGTTAATAATCAAGCCAGAATGGATATCTATTGAAACTTGTAATATCTGGTTTTGAAGTCCTGTAATGTTTTCATTCCTTTGTTTTGATTGGTTTTATTCTGTTTCCTTTTGCTTGATTTTACTATGTCTGATGGTATGGATAACTATTTTGCAGAGAACTATTTTGAAAACAAGAGACATTATGGTGGCCATTGATAATTTCCTATTGTTTTGAAATCTTGTGTCACTTTCATTGTACAGTTCTGGTTAGCTTTATTATGTTTTATTTTGTTTGGATTTATTCTCTAAAATATTAAATCAAATTAATAAAATGAAAGTTATTTCCTTTATCACACTAGTACCTTTCAAACACTCAGCAGGCACCTGTTGGGTAACATGAAGATTTTTACATGATTATATATTAGAATCTTCACTTAATCTAACAGTAAAGCTTCCTTAGTGCTCAGAAAGGATCCTAGAGACATGGAGGTGTCTTTTAGGAGCAAGGGCCTCCAGGTCCTAGGACCCTGGCTTCCAGGCCACCGTTTGTATGTGGCCTGTTTAGAGGCTGCATACAGCTTTGATTTAATATTTAATAACTATTTAATAAATGGTAATATAGTTTTACTAAGTTTTATCATAAAAAGAGGGTCAAGAAATGAAGGTGAGGATTTTGGATTTGTACCATTTATACTCTTGAAGTCAAGGAATAGGGGCATATACTTTCTTATTTTTAATTGTCATATTTAGAGCTTAATATAGTAGCCAGGTTTGAGCTTCATAGTACTGTATCTGTAGGGTGTCTAGAGATGAGGCTCAGCTCCTGCCTGGATGGGTGATCTACTCAGATTTGGGGAAAGGGAGAATGGTATTACTTTCAAGGCCTTTCTTGAAATGTAAAGATTATCTTGTCAAAGTGCCTGCCCCACACACCTTTAAAATACAAGCTTTGCTCATTATGTTTTGCTCATACTATAAGCCCAAATAATACTGTGATAAAATTACTAAGGAACGTGTATTTATGTAGTCTCTTTTTAGGGAGGGAATTATACAGTTTGGGTGGTCTAGCAGGACTCAGCCAGATCACTACGGAAGGGGAGATGTGCGCCCTGACTGAGCTGGAGGAGGAGTTACCACTAAACCACGGTGTTCTTTTATTTGCCAAAGCTCACACTTCTCTCTCAAGGAAACGAGTCTCTAGCTCTTCTTCTATCCTCCTCAAGGTTTCCTGGTACTTCTGTAGAGAAGGGAAAAGAAGCCACAGTTACTTCTTACACACTATGGTTTTCTAAACATATAAGCATTATTTAAATTTTTTGGTTTTTTCATACGTAGTAGCAGTATCTTATGCTTACATTCCTTGTGTGGCATTAATACGCATGTACAACACACCTTATTGCTTTTTTCATCCCCCTTCCCTCCCTTCTTCTTTCCTCTATGTCTTGATGCCCTTTCCATTCGAGAAAGATCTACCTCTCCATTTCTTATTAGCTTTTATTTTGCCCTTCCTTCATATTTTGAGTTTCTGTTGTAAGAGAAACTATGCCATAGTTAGGCTTGTGTGCCTGGTTTATTTCACTGAACTTTATGGTCTCTACCGACCCTAAGCACTTACTACACTGCAGCCTTAATATTTGGTGTTCCTGCTGTCATTCACTCTGCTCTTACAGCCCCCCACTGCTGCTCCTGATCTCTGACTATACCTCATCGCTGGCATTGGAAATAGCTGGACGTGCTCAATACCAGTGGAATTACTGGGGAGTCAAGGAAAAATAAAGTGATAATGGTGATGGTTTGTTGCTAACTTTAAAGATTCCTTCAGAGCACCACCGTGCAAAAGCTAAAATTCTTGTGGATAGTAGGTTTTGAACAGCCTAGTTCCATTCCATCCTATCCCTTCATAACCTTTTTGCTGTCCCTTGCCCAAGACGCTGTACCTTTATGCAGAGGGCTTGGTCCTCACAGAGCTGGACTACAAATGCATAGTCTTCTATTATCTGAGGAACCAAAATTGGATCTTACATTTTTCTCAGTAAATTGCTATAAGAACAGGAGTTAAACTGTCATAGACTCAAAATGCAGTCTTCTAATTATTCTTTTTTTCTGTGCCTATATATTTATTTCATTTTGGAAGTGCTTTATAAATTGTGTTTCATAGTCCAAATGAGAATTGGGGTAAGTTGGGAGAAAAAGATACAGAGGATAGGATGCAACCTGCAAAATGTAAATGAAGGTGTCATAGGGGAGTGTGGGTTCCATCTTATCACCTGCTTTTCCCAAAAACGCCCTCACACTGAACACTGGTTATAAGTCAATCATTTACGGAATGTATTAGATTGGCCAAAGATTAAGTATCCCTTTCTTGGGGAGAAGTAACATTGAGGTCCTTGTTGTACCTTGGCCAGTTTCTTTTCTTGGTCTGCACAGGAAGCTTCCAGTTGCTGTAACTTAACCTACAGAAAGGAAAGGAGGCTAGTAATTCAGCAAGGTGAAAATACCCTCGTCTCAAAGATCATCTCCCAGGCTACTGAGAAGTATGAGGGCACCATTTCAGGTGTCTTTTTGATGGAGAAATTAAACCACACAATGCCTTGCAACTTCTTGGTGAACCTACTCCTCCACATATAACTTTCATCTGGTCCTGTTCTCACCCCTAAACTTTAATTCTTGTCTTTCTTAGCTTTTCCATTTGGAAATACAATCAGTCTTGTAAAACTTTGCTCCTTCTTTTGCTTTTTTAAGTCACTGAATCCAAGGCTTTTGCTCACTTCTTTACCTTTATCCGTATTTCTTCTTCTAGATTCTTACCCTAAACACAGAAAACACTGTTCTGTATCAGGCAGTGAAAAGGGTTCGGGTGTATGTGGTAGTGCTGAGGTAGTATTGGGGAACAGATGGACTCGCCAGCCTCACAGAGAGACATTTAATTGGGAGTCATAACAAACAACATGATTATGGCATGTGATATAAAGGAATTAAAAACATTAAAAATACAATTTAGTGCATGTTGGTGGTATGAGGGGGTGATGTGATAGTGGTCCAGAGAGGGAATACTTGAGCAGAAATCTAAATGAGAAATAGTAGCAAAATGGAGATCTGAAATACGTTCCTGGCGAGGTTATTGCCCAGTCAATATTGGAGGGTAGGTAAGTTTTGTTGTGCATGACGTGAGGCTTCTGGTAGGTGGAGAACAAGTGGGAAAGGCAGAGAAGGACTGGATTATGTAAGACTTTGCAGCTTCTAAAGACAGTTTGGTTCTTTGTGGTAACACGAAGCCAGGAGAAGGCTTGAAGTATCAATGTACACACTGACTTGCATGTTTAAAAGCAGATATTTCTGTGTATGGAAGATGGCTTTTTCAGGATTAAGAGCAGAAAGACTAAATCTAGGAGACTAAATTTCAATAGTCCAGGCTATGGTGTTTTGCAGAAGCGTCATAGTAGCAATTGTTTTCTCTATCTTTTATATCTAGCCAGTCAAATAATTCAAGAGACAGTTTCAGCCCACTGGTGTGAGTCATAGGGGTTGAAGCAAGTATACCATTAAGCGGCTGAATTCCTTTATATATCTCAGCCAGATTTTAGATCAAAAAGTTATGTGACTCTCTGAGCGCTTAGCATTCAAAAGAAAAAAGAATATTTTATACACAATCTCATTATCCTCAAGCTGAGGCTGGAAGGGTGTGATTACACTGCCCAAATTCACACACCAAATTAAGTGCTGAAGCTAAGATTTAAACAAGAGATTTTTCAAGTGCTTGAATTGCTGCATATGCATTGGTGCCCTGCTCTTTCTAACAGAAGACAGAACAAACCATCTGACTTCAGAATGAAATTATTTACAGAGGGCAGGAGGAGGAGAATTCAGCCCTTAGGAGCTCAGACTGAAACCTGAAATGGGAGAAAATGTCAAAGCATTCACTCCAAGTTTGCCTTCATTTCTGATTGGACAGCGTGTCTCCTGGTTACACAGTCTAACCTCATTCAGGATACTTTTTCCATTTACCTGCAGCTCTTCTGAGTTGCTGTCCAGATCACATTGTGCATACTTTGTTATCTTGTATGGTTTCCTTGCAAGCTACAGTTTCAAATAAAAATATATATTTCAAATAAAAATACATTAAGTAAAATAGTCAAGAAGACCAGGACTTGTTTTGATGTGTGTGGATCAGTAATTACAGTTTGATAAAAGATGTCAGACGATGGTCCCTTAGGAGATATTTCATGTTCTGTAGAAATATCTTTATTCTACCTATATCCTCTTTTCACTAGGATAACATCCACTCAAGGCAAGGTACTGCCCTGGACTCCTGATTCCTGCAAGGCTGTTCAGGTCACAGGTCAGAGTGTGGGGTGACCACAGGAAGCCCATTGTTCTTGGAACAGGGGTTGTTGAGGTAGAGGCCATGGCTAGCTGAGGGAGAGGAAATCACTGGAGATTAAGTTAGTTGTATCTGTGCATTTCAGTCTCTGTTGAAAGTAAAATTAACCTCGTAGCATATAGGTACCAGTCAGTCATTTCTACAGAGCATCTGTTGGAATCTATTTTCTTGTAAGAAAACAAAGAAAGCATGCCTATGATCACTAAATATCTCATTCACCCTTTTATAACTTGTTCCCTGACAAAAATGGTGGCTTACAGGATTAAGCCTCAGTCTTAGGACAGTGGGTCACAGATAGTACCCCTTTGAGCTCAGGCCTCTTTGATGCAGGGATTTCTTCCCTCTCTTGCCTCTTAGGTTAACGAGGGTGCTATGGGGACTCTGGGGAACACAGAGCTCCACCACACCTTTCTCTGCAGTTCTGTTATACTATGGACCAGAGTCTCGTTCTTCCTTTCCTGGGGAGAGAAAGAAGTAAAAGTATAAGTCTGCATTGGTACATCATCGCCATCTGTTCCAACGCAGCTAATCACTGTCCAATTCACTCCAGCAGTATTTTCCAGCAGTAACTCTATCTTACTTGCATGGTATAAGTAGATCTTGAGATCAAACCACAAGTTAAGTATACACCAACTCAACGGGAATATAGATCTCCATGTGTGGGGTTTCCCAACATTAAACATCACCAAAGAAACCCCACCCTCTACTTGTTCTCTTCCTTGCATGGACACACTTCGTCATGGCTTTGCATGTAAAAAGGGGAGACTAAGCTGTCCTGAAAGTTGTTGAAAGACAGAATGAAGGAAGAAACCTACTGAATGACTCTTTCCAGTTTCACACTTACAAGTTTGGCGCTTTTTTCCTCCAGCTCTTGTAAGGCTCTTTCCTTCTCTACTATCATGAAATTTTCTTTCTCCCATTCTTCATCTCTTGCTGAGTCTTCCATCTGGGTAATCTCACTTTCTAACCTGTGTGACACAAGAATGATGGATGACTCATGATTGGCCTTATAAAATACAGATGTCAGTTCTAAAGACATTTCAATAATGACATAGGTGTACTTCAAGTTGGAAACCCATCTTGATGGGATCTATTACTTCTTTATGAGATCAGAATTACTTCTGAGGCATGAAAAGTAAGATCTGCCCGATTTCCATGGCAAACACCCCAGTGTTCTCTCAACTTGGGTAAATACTACCCAGTTTGTAAATAATCTATTTGAAAAATTCAGTTTCAGTGTTCTAGCAAGAGAGAAACACCAAAAATGAAGAACATGCTTATTGCTTCAGAGGATACAGGTCTCTAGAGCAAGTACAAAAGTTTAGTTTTGCCTTTTCTTCTCCCCACTTTCCTTTGGAGTAAAAATTCCTCTTAAATCTCTGATACTTACCTCTGAATCTCATGCTCTTTCTCTTGGATTTTGAGAAGCATCTCCTGATTGGCTTCATCTATCCTCTGCATGTCCTTTTCAAGATCTGTGTTCAAGCTGATAATGTTCTTCTTTGACTGAGCCAATTTTAAGATTTCCATTTTCTCTGATCTATAAATTCAGTTCCCAAATGAATAAAAGTGGGTTATTTTAAGAGCAATAATTCCTGGGCCAAGAGAGATATTGAGAAGATACATTACTTACCAGGCTTGCTCTGCCTGGGACCATAAGCTTCCTTTTCTCATCTTTAAAAAGTTAAATTTCTTAATCATGCTGCACAACTTGTTTCAAGATTTCTCAACTTAAACAAGGGATATCTTTCTTGGGCTTTCTCCTCCAAAGTCCTCAAAATAATAGTGCACCTCCACACTGGTTTAATGAAAAACTGCTTCCTTAAATAGCCCCTTGCATTGGAGAGAATTGTTTCCCTTAGCAACCTTTTCTTAAGTTGTTCACAAAATCTGCTCATGAAATACACTTTTATTGGTATTTTTATCTAGGCACCTGGTACATCTCTTCTGGTTGGGCCTAGATTTATGCAGTGACAAGAAAGACTGCTACTCACTTCCATCTTTCCCTCTCTCACCCTACCTCTCTTTTTCTTTCATTGCCTACTAGAATGTTTGGGATTCTACCGAACAGTCACGCCACTGAACACACACAGATAGGCTTCAGGCTCAGCTTTCAAGAAGAGAAGTATCTTTAAAAAAAAATAAATTTGAGTAAAATAATTGATACTTTTAGAATAGTCTATAAAGTCTTCCCAACACATAGGAGGTTCTCAATAAACCTTTTATTGCTTGTGAATTAATTCATTGGTTTGTGTCCAAAGCAATTAGCCAGGAGTAGGATCACAAGGATTAGGGACTATTTGTTTTGGTCAGGAATAAAGGATGATATTGGGAAACAGAGCATTACCCAAGAAGAGCTGCCTTGGATGAAGAATTTACACTCGCTGTCACTTTATGAAGGAGTGAGATGCAATGAGAGATGGCTGGGTGGATACAGAAGGAAGAGAGAAGATGATGAAGAAATTCACAACAGACCTACTTCAAGCCTCGATCCTTGGGTGTGACTTTGCATGATGATGATTACTTACTTGTAATCTTGCTCAACTTGCTTTTGGTCTTCCATTGCAAGTTTTCTAAAATTCCAGCAGAGATGTATCTAATGAATTAGAGAAATGGATAAGTTAATGAAATACAGAATAACAAGGCTAGAAGCTCCCAAATAGAAACTAAATTGAAATTGTTTCCTCCCTCAGATCTCCCTAACTCATCCACAAACAAACCCAACCTTCTGTTTCTTCTGCACATAAGGACATGATAAGGGTAGAAAATTCAGTATGTGTTCTCCTAGAAGATACATTCAGAGACAGCTTAGGAATATAAATCTACTTGCAAATTTATACGTGAAGAAATGAAGGTTATCCATTGTTCTACATTCCTCTTTTCTCTAAACCAAGTTGCTCTCCTTAAAGCCCCAATGGCATGGACATGGGAGCATCACACATCTGACAAATACATCTGGTCTCTTGCCGGGCCCCAACATGGACTTTGGGATATTAACACAGTATTAAAGAGAACTCAGGAGACCAAGAGGAAGTAAATTATGTGGTCCTCTTAGCTCCTAAGTTTTTGCTTTTTGCCTATTTCTTCTTCAGACTCTACTTCCCTTCTGCTGTGTATTGTCTTCTGGTTCTGCCCTAGTCAGTTGGCTTCTGAAAAATCTAATGCTTTCCTACTGGGAAAGAATCTCAGTAGAATCTCAGAACCTTCTGAGGGGTTATGACACTGGATGTCACAGTGGGGTGGGTGGCAACAGTTTCTTCTTCGTGCAGTCAGGATCTCCGCTGGGTCCAAAGGTTTAGTAGTCAAGTCTGTCCTAAGCAGTGCTAGGATTCCATGGATCTGATTTCTGGGGCACATGAGGGAACAGACTGCCTTTCTTTTCCCTAGTGGATAAGCCTTCCTTCCTGCCCAAGAGTAGCTAAAATGGGAACTTCGGATCTTTTGGCTAGCAGCGTGATCTCACCATGTATATACCCAACCAGCTACTCATTCATACAGTAAATGTTTGAAGCACTGAAATACATCTGTGCTTGCCAGGTGCATGGGGAGGAAGAGTGAATGGAACAACCTAGAGCATTTCTTCTCTCAGGATTTACCTCAGAAGCGAAGTGCCCGCAGTGGGGTGTGTGTGTGTGTGTGTGTGTGTGTGTGTGTGTGTGTGTGTACTAGGGCATCACAATTTTATTTTTTTATTTAAAGAGAAAGAAAACAGAAAAAAGGGTAGAAATAATACAGAATTTCAGAAAAATAAACAGTAAGAAATCACTAGTTGATAAGTTATATATTGTCATCTTAGATATAGTTGTTCAAGTTACAAAATTAAAGCATACAAAGTTATATTCAAACAATGACACTGCAAACAGCTCTGCTCAGTGATCCAACAAAAACTTAGTAATATGGTTATCAGTCCTACACACTTGTTTTTTTATCTTAAAGAGGGTAAGATTAAACATGTCAAAACAGAACAAAACAGTTCATAAGGAAACAATTTAAACACTGATTTCAAAGCAAGTTCACTGGAGATCTTCACTGTCTATCTTATTGTCTCTAGTTTTCTTCCAAATAGTTGTCTCCATCTTCACACACATTGAATATATACTGAACATTATAGAACTAATCAAACCATTACAGGATGATGAAGGCTTTTTAGGTCTTCAAGATCTGATTTTGGGGAAGTCAATAATGACTACCGTAATGTCTCTCATTCTCTTCAAAGTAGCTGTCTTTATCTTTATTTATGCTGAAATTGAACATAAGAGACTAGACTAATATTACTCTGAACAGTTAATAATAGTATTGCTAGATTTTATATCAAAATGCTACAGAATTAGCATTGGGTTTCTCAGTGTCTCTCCTTCAGAGTATCTGTTCATTACATTGTGTATTATATAATCTGTTTCCATCAATAGTTTAGAAATTCTTCCCATGTGTGAATCTCTACATGTACATCTATCCTTTCTGTATTTTAGGGAAAAAGAGATCAAAACAAGATAACAAAACAAATTCCTAGAAAAACATGAAATGACAAAGACATATGAGACCACAATATTAGGTAATCTATATAGTTACTATGCTTTGTCTTGTTATTTTCAATAGGATTGTCCACATCATTGGCAGTATATAGTTAAGCATATCATTACATAGCTATTTTTATAAAAACACATCTTTGGAGACATTGTAGGACTTGAAAGCAGTTAATAATCAAAACTGGAATGTATATCTTTTAGATCTTGTCATCTTCAGAGCAGTTGTCCCTACTCTTAGATTTGATACTATCAAGCATACCAAATTCGAATAAAATCAGTCAAGGCAAAATAGTGGTCGAGCAAGCAAGTTTCAAATAAGATCAGTCATAATAAGACAATGTAAGTAATACAGGGTTTCAGTTTAAGTTAATAGGAAATTAAGGATAGTTACTATGGTATAACCTGTTATTTTTGAGTTAGCTGTCTGTGCCCTCAAATCTCATATGAGTAGACAGACCAGAACAAAATATAATCACGCTAAATAGAGTGATAATACTACTGTGGCTTTTAAATTCTGATACACTTATAACAATGTCCTCTGCCTTCCTTTTTTTAAGGCAGTTCCTCACCTTTCCCCTTCTCAGGATGCTTTGTATATTTTGGGTCCCAGTAGCTCCTTTAGTTTTTAGACTAGGGGGTCAACCTGTTATCGGTCTAAATGTTGTCGAACCTTTTTACCCCTGAGCTTAATCTTGAACTGTACTCCTTTACTTACTAAAGCCACAAAGGTTTTCCTTCCTTCCAGCTGTGTAGTTCTACACTGCACAAAGGTGTCGTAACTTTCCAACCTATCTGTGGCTGCTAGACGAGTTGTCCCTATTTCTCTCTGGTTTCCTGTCACATATAGCATTGTTTTCTCATCTTTGACTCTCAGTTTATTAACCCTCTTTCAGGTTGAGTGTATTTCCTATTCAGAGCATCTTGATGGATCCTGCCTCTTAATCTACTCTGCCTGTGTTTCTTTTTTTGTTAGTGTATGAAGGCTATCTATATTAAAGATTATAGCTTACTGTCTCTGCCTCATCTCTGCTATTCTATTCTTCTGCTATTATTTGTCCACTTTACTCCTTCATTCCACTGTCTGCCCCGTTCATTGAGGCCTTTCTGCCACTGTTGCTGGAATCTTGATATTTTTTCCTTTCTCTGGAATGTCCTTCAGTATTTTTTGTAGGGTTGGGTTGGTGGCCATGAACTCCCACAGTTCCTCATTTTTTTAAAAATTTCTATCTCTTGTCATGTTTCTGGTTTCTTTCAGATTGGTGTGTCCTGGGGTCTCTGGCCCACTCCGTATTGCTTAGGGTCTTTCTGAAGCGTGCTGACTGGGGTTTTGCTGCCCTCCCCAATTTGCTGTTATCTGAGGTACAGGCAAGGATGCAGGGATGGTGCAGGCTAGCCTCTAGCCTCTGTGCCAGTCCACCCGCAGTTTCTGTCAGGGACTTATGTTGTACCTTGTGGATGACACTGAGTTAGAGTTATGACCTTTTTGTCCTTGGCTATTGGGTTCCAACCAGAAGCGGAGCTCAGCCCCAGCAGAGCCTACCTATCCTCTCTGTGCCAGGGGCGGCTGACTGATGCTGCCACGGCCCAGGCTCTGCCCAACTGCAAGATGTCCTCCAGCCAGCGACAGCAGCCGCGGGACCCCATCCCCAGCACTCACGGGGAATCAACTCAACTTCTCCTCTTGACCACACCATGCTGCCATGCTGCGTCCTCCCGCCAAGGGCTCGGGACTCAACAATTCCTGTTATCAGCAGCCATTCCTTCAGCTCAACCTTGAATCTCCTGACTCCACGGCGCTCCCAGTACAGCGCATACCGGTCTCAGTGAGCCCACAGGGCTCCAGCCCTATACTCGCGTTTTTCCTTTCTTCCCAGAGATAGAGTCTAGCTTGATGTGGTTTTTCCACGTCTAGATCAACATCCTACCTCTTCAGAAAACTGTGTGGTGCAGTGCCCTACTTTGGTGCCCAGGTGCGTGGTCCTCTCCATGGCCTCCTCTGGCACAGGGCCCTGGCATCACAATTTTAAACTGAGTGGTGCAGAGAACACAGCTAGCCTGTCTCAATCCTGGAAGTGGTCAGTGTCTGTGGGAAAAAGTTTGGTGGGCAGGGAAGAACCTGGTCTGTGCAGGGTGAATGCAGTCCAGCAGAACCAAGAACACACATAGTTGTGCAAAGATCCAGGCTTTTCCCTTTGAAGGACATAGATTTCTAGCTTTTCCCTGTATCTGCCACTGTAAATGGCATTACAAAAAGAAATTTTAAAGGATACATTTTTTTCCTTTAGATATAAGCAGCTTGTCCAAACTTCTTTGAACTTAGAACATAAACCACTACCCCATCTCTCCTCTGGCCAGATGAATGAACAGAATAGAATATGCAGATGCTGGCCCCAGGAGGTCAATGTACAATTTCCTTTCCTTAATCAAGGGAGGGAGAGGTCAGTCCAAGAAGGATAAAACAAGCACAAAGGTGTCTATTGTCTCTCAGTATTCCCTCCTCCATTTTTCCTTGTTATAAAGTATCCTAACATCCTGCACAAATTGAGATGGTGATTTGGGTTATGAAGCCCCTCCCCTCTATTTTCTCAGAGCTAGCTTTGAATAAATCCCCTTTTTTCCTTTTTACCAACATAAATGGTCTCCTCTGATCTGGTCAGCAGTGAGCAAATGAACCTGAGTGTATGCACCAGCCTGAGTGGCTGGTAACAGCAACATCCCACGAAAGAGGAGAGCCCTGGAGAAAGAGATGCCTTAAAAGACAAAAGAGGTTTTTAGCAGGAAATGTCTATGATGTTCGCATTGTCTCCACTGGGTTTGTCTTGGCTGTAGGAACGTATCAGTTAGGAAATGTGAGGAATATATTTATGTATACCTGAAATGTGTAAATTTTGGCCAGATTATGCATAATTTGGAACTTTTTGTGTATATGAGTCAGGGAAACCTGTGAAGTTTCAGATATCTACTTAATGAGCATCACAGTGAATTGATTTGTGAGCCAGAGTGACTTCTTAACATACTGTAGTTCTAACAAACTGTTTGTAAAATTAATGGGCTCTGATGACCCCC